GGGAAGATATGGAGGGGGAATAGAGAATAGGGAAGATATGGAGGGGGGAGTAGAGAATAGGGAAGATAGAGGAGGTGAGCAAAGAGGAGATACAAGAGGAAGATATGAAGGATCAGGATATGAAGGAGAAGAAATTGAGAAGAAAGATGAAAGAGGAAGAGATGAAGGGGTAGCAGGAAGGGATGAAGAGAACAGTAAGAGATAGTTGATAAAGAGGACAAGACGGAGAAGGAGAAGATAGAGCAGGAGGAAAGAAGGAAATTGAGGAAGAGAAGGTAGAGGAGAAGATGAGACAAGGAAAGATGGAAGAGGTGAAGATAAGGAAAGGACAGGATGAGGTAGAGGAATGGGATATGAAAGAGAAGGTGGAAGAAGAAGTCAGAAGAGAAGAAAGAAATGAAGGAGATGGAAGATAAGCCAGGTAAGGAAGAGATGAAGGAAGAAGACTAGAAGGCAAGATGGGGAAGTAGGCAGAGAAGATGGAGTAGATGAAGAGATGCAGAGGAGATGAAGGTGATGGAGGGACAGGAGATAGATGTGTTGGAGGAGCAGACTGAAGAGAGGGGGGTGATGAGATGAAGAGAAAGGATGGAGCACATTGAAGAGTAGGATGGTGAGGGGTGGGAGTAGGAAGGCATGAAAGGGGATGTTTGAAAAGACGGAGATGAAAATGGAGAAGTAGATGGAAGACAAGCGTGAAGAGATGATGGAATTGGAGAGGAGGGAAGGGGTAGAGGAGAAGGAGATGGATGAGGTGGGAAGGGGTGGAGGAGAAGGAGATGGATGAAGAAGAGACAGGAGAAAAGTGAACAAATGAGAGAAAGGAGATGGAAGGAGTGAGGGAGGCAGACAGAAGATGCAGGTGGGGGAGCAGTAGAAGATGAAGTTAAAAGGATATGGAAGAGGAAGAAACAGTAAAGACAGAGGATACAGGACAGACAGTGGAAGAAGAAGAGGTGGAGAAGGAGGGGATGAACAGGAGTCATGATGAGGGGGTGGAGGATGTGGAAATGAGGAGGGGAAGGAAATGGGAGAGAGGAAGATGGAGGGGGAAGAGATGGAGGAGATGGAAACTGAGAAAGATAGGAGAAAAATGGAGGAAAGAAAGTAGAGTAGATGGAGAAATAAAGGAATGTAAAGAGGAGGAGAGAGGAAAAGGAGATGAGAAGAGGTAGGAGATTGAGGAGGAGGAAGAGGTGGGTAGGAAGAAGAGATGTAGGAGAAGGAAGAGCAGGAGATGAAGATTTGAAGGATGAGAAAGGAGATGAAAGAGGAGGAGATGAAGAACTAGGACAATGGTGAGGGGAAGATAGAGGACATAGAGATGGAGGAAAACAGGAGGAGGAGATAAAGAGGATAAGGTGCTAGAAGAGAAAATGGAGGAGGGGTAGAAGAAGAAGGTAAACAGGAAGAGAAGTAGATTAAGGTAGTGAAAGGGGAGGAATAAAGGAAACATAAAAGGGAGGAGGAAGAAAAGATGAAGAAGGAAGTAGGAGGAAAAGGGTGAGATGGAGAAGAATGAGGAGGATGAGGGAGATAGAAGAGGAGCAGGAAGATATAGGAAGGAAGGAGGAAAAAAGAGGAAGAAGAGGAGGACATGGGACTAGAGAGGAGATAGAGCAGAAGGAGAGGGGGAGGAAGAGGAGGAAGAGATAGAGAAGAGAATGGGAGGAGATGGGAGAAAGAAGAGAAATGACAGGGAAAGAAGGAGAAGGAAGAGAACAACGAGAATTATAAAGTGGAGGGAAGGTAAAAACGAGGGGAGGGAGGAGGAGGAGGAGAAGGTGAAAGACTGTTGAGGAAGAAGTAAGAGAGAAAGGGGGTCAGGGCAAGGAGAGAATCAGGAAAAGAAGAGGTAGAAGGAAGACATGAGAGAAGAGTAAGAAGAGATGACACAAGAAGACATGAAAGAGAAGGGATAGAAGAGGAGAATATGGAGGACGAGGCAGAGAAGGAAACAGAGGAGTGGAAACAGGAAGAATGGAAGATGGACAAAGTATGAGTAGGGAGAGGAGAGGATGGAAGAGAGGAAGGATAGGAGGAAATCATAGATGATAAAAGGAAGAGTTGAAGAGAAAGAATTAGAAGCAGAGAAGGAAGAGGGGAATATGGAGGAGGAAAGGATGAAGAAGAAAAGGAAAAAGACAGAGCAAGAAGAAGAAGTAGAGAAATAGAGGAGAAAATGGAGGAGTATTAAGAGATGAAGGGGAAATAGGAAGAAGAGAAATAGCAGATACAGGGAAATGAGGGGGAAAGGAAGAGGAAGAAAGGAAGAGGAAGAGGTGTTGGAAAATGAGGAGAAGGAAGAGAGGGAAGAGGAAACAAAGAAATGATGGAGGAAGAGGAGAATATGGAAGAGGGAGTAAGGGAAGAGGGGGTGAGAAATTGGGAAGCAGAGGATTAAGAGATGTAATAGGAGAAGAGAGATGGAGGACAAGGAGAAAGAAGAAGGGAGTAGGTGAAGATGAGGTGGTAAAGGAGAAGTATGAGATGGATAAGAAAATATGTAGGAGAAAAGGAAAGTGAGGAGTAGCTGTAGAGAGGAGGCTAAAGTGAAGAAGCAGAGGGAAGGAGATAGAGGAGGGGGAGGATAAAGGGAGGAGATGGAGAAGGAGCAGGAGAAAGGAGGAAGAGGATCAGAAGAGATACAGGAGGAAGACTAGGAAGAGGAGGAGATGGAGCAGGAAGAGTAGAGGAAAAGGAGACGAAGGAGTAGGTGCTGGAGGCGGAGGAAGAAGAGATAAAGGAGGAAGAAGAGTAGAAGGCGTGGGGTAGAAGCATCAGGGAAGAAGAAAGGAAGGAGCATGAGGAAACGGAGGGCGGGAGAGATGAGATGGAGGAGGAGATGCAGGAAGAGAAAGTGTAGGAGGAAAGGAAGCAGAAGAATGTGGAGAAAGACAGGACGGGGGAAGGAGGAAATAGAGGAGAAAAGGCAGCAGAGGATATGGAAGAGGAGGAGGAAGGAAAGGAGATAGAGGTACAGGTGGAGAAGGAAATGGAGAGGAAGAAGAAAGAGCTGGAATGGAGAAGAGAGAGGAAGAAGTTGGAGGAGGAAAAGGAGAAAGGGAGAGAAGGAAGGCATGGAGGAAGGGGAGGAGAGAAGGAACGGATGGCTGGCCTGGGAGGAGGCTTCAGTGCCTGAGCTGGGTGAGACAGGAGAACCCAAGCGTCAGGTACTGCACTGTGTGTGCAGCCATACCATGTGGGCAGAGACGGGAAGGGGTCAAAGGAAGATGGCATGTGACCATGATAGAGACAAAATGAGAATCACATTGGGCAGGGACCCAGGCCAGCTGTAGGGGGCGCACCCTTTTTCCAACAGCCTTAGTTTCCTCATTTGTTCCTGAAGGTGAGTGCTGGTCCCTGCCTTAGCACCCAAAACATGCTGGCCCCTTTTTACCCTAGCTGTACTTCCAAAGGGCACCCCACCCCTCTACAAAGGAGGAGAGAGAGAGCCAAGAGAGTCATAGGTGTGGACGGCTTGGCACACAGTGCTCAATTAGTGCCCTTCGTTTTCCCGGAATAGGGGAGCAGTAGGTATTAAATGACAGACAAGAGGAAGGGAAAAGGAAGGAAGTGTTTATTAAAAGCTAGTGCCCAGTAAATGTCTGCCTTCCCCAGGCAGAGAGAAGCAGGAAGCAGAGGCTGACAGAGACCGTGGTCAGTGGGGAGTGAAGGACAAGAGAGAAGGATATAGTAGTACTCAATATTCTTTGTCTTGGAAGACAGTAGAGAAAACAGAGAAAAGGGGACAGGGGAGGGGTGAGTGCAGAGATAAGAGAGGGCTAGTGACGATAGGGGTTCAAAGTGTGTTCATTTCTTCTCCCAGGAAAGCAGAAAGGGAGGAGGCCAATAAGAGACAACAGTGGGTGGATGCAGGAGGGAAGGAGACCAGAGCCTGGGACCTCATACACAGCAGGTGCTCACAAGATTCCTAGTGGGGAGGGGCCAGACAGACTGGATGGTGAGAAAGGAAACAGTGGAGGGGACGGCAGAGAGTAGACAGGGTGAACAAACACCAGGGTGACCAGAAGGACCCTGGGGCTCAGGCAGATGCCCCCACAAGCCTGGTCCTCAGGGCCACTCCTCCGCCTAGGGCGGAGCTGAAAGCCGCTGACTTCTCTGAAGGAGCTGGAGGCAGGAACCCCCAGCTGTCAGGACAGGAGACAAGGGTGCATTGTCCTGGTGCTGGCACAGCCTGGTCTGAGGGGGAGGGGAGATCAGTCTTCTGGGTGTGGGGTGCTGCCTGGCCTCTGCGTCCCATGACCCACTGTCCCCCATCTGTGCTGACCGTCCTCCCTGCCTCTCTGGTCTTGAGTCCCTGCTCTCCACCCTTCTCTCCTGTTGTGTGGGGCAGGAGGGATGACCCTACTGCCAGTACTGAGACCCTCACCCAGGATCTGGGCTGGGCGTGGGTGGGGGCAGAGGGGGAAGGACAGACGGAGGCAGAGAAGGGGGAGCCAGGACAGAGCCAGCTTTATTCAGGAGAGAACACAGGGCTTTGGCCCCAGCGGAGAGGGAGGAAGAGACCTGAAAATAGAAGATGGGAAGGAAGGGCTGGGGAACAAGTAGGCAGAGACAGAGATGGAGAGTTAGAGAGAGGCAGAGAGATGGAGAGATGGAGAGAGACAGAGAGAGGGAAAGATGAGAGACAAAGACAGTCATGGAAAGAGAAATACAGTGAGGAGGGAATCAGGTCAAGAGAGAGAAGCAGACACACTGAGGAAATGTGAGAGATGGGATATTAGGCAGAGAGACAGAGACGAAAGGAGAGAAAATCAGAGAGACAGATGGAGAAACACAGGCAGAAGGAGAACACAGGAAAAATCAGATACAGAAATGGAGGCAGAGAAAAACAGACAGAGACAGATGAAATGTTGGGGCGGCAGAGATGAAGAAACAGGCTGGGAGAGGCACAGGAGAGAGAGGACGGAGGCTGTGGAAGGGTAGAAGGAGCCGATCAGGAGAGGCAAGCGGACAGGTGGAGAGACACCGGGTGCCTTGTGGGCCACCACGGCAGCAGGACCCTCTCACCTGGCCTTGGTGTCTGCGCCCCCAACCCCAGCCCAAGCCCTGCAATTTAAGGGGCACCATAGGGGCGGGTCCTATCTCTATCCACACCTTATCTGGCCAGACCCTGGCCTTGCAGCTAAATTGAGTCTCAGCTGTCAGCACAGCCAGGAGCAGCTGTACAGGCAGCTGTAGTACCAACCCTCCTCTGTCTGTTCCTCAGGCCCCTGGAGGTCAGCATGGAGCCCATGCCCATGGGTATCAGGGAACCACCAGCTTCAGAACAGGCCTGGTGAGGCGTTAGGGCCAAGGGTGCTCTCTTCAGAAGTGGGGTGTCAGTGGGGGCACCAAGTCAGCACCAAGGGCAAACAGGAGGCATTGAATCGGTGTGCAGGCCTGCACCCTTCCCTCCACAGGCTCCTCATTTAATACCTTATTTGGTCATGGCTGAGGGGGCACCTGGGATGTCACAGGCTGCACCACTCAGGCCGAGAATAGAAACACCCAGGGAGTCCTGGCAGCTGTCCCCTACCAGGGACTGGACAGGCGACAGGTGGGGCGGGGGTGGGGGTGGACAGGAAGGAGGGAGATAGAGGAAGAGAGAAGGTTAAGAGGCCCATAGATCCAGAGAGACTTCAGAGCCATGGAAAGAGATGGGGAAGTGCGGTGTGCTGGCACACACTTATACAATTCCAGCACTTGATGGCTGAGGCAGGAAGATTGTGGCAAGTGTCTCAAAAATGAGGAAAGGGTGTGCGCACGCATACATACACACACACACACACACACACACACACACACACACACACGCACGTACGCGTGCACATACAGGGGCAGGGGGGGGATGGAAGTGTTAATTTGGACACATGGAGAAGGACAGACAGAAAGGAGGCCCAGGGAGGGGCTAGGAGGCTGGAGAAGACAGAGGTCAGGGGGCAGCAAGGGTGCTGGGCTCCGGGATTGGATACTCCGGCAACTCAGTATGTGTCTTCCACAGGCTGTCTTGGTTTTTACTTTACAACTTGCCCTTTGACCTCAGAAATCTTGGGGACCAGATAGCAGCAGTTTGAGCCTCTGCCTTTTCCTAGCATGGTGCCAGAATGTGGCCTTCATCCCCAGATGAATTCATTACCAGGGTAGATCCCGGCCAAGATCGGCTGTCATACCCCAATGTGGGCCCTTCCTCACCCTAATCAGCATCAGCGGAGGACAATCTTCCCATTTCCTGCATGCCCCAGGGCTCAGGGCCAGGTCCTGGCCCTCTCCTCCCCCTCGGGGCTCATGCTATCACCTCCACTGCTTTTTCAGGGTGCTCCTATCTGGGCCCTCCTGCTGGCTCCAGTCCTCTTCCCCTCTGTCCCAGATAGGCCTGTCTGTCAACACCTCCCCAAATAACTGGTGACGGCAGCAGGCTGCGGCACTCTGGGGACATCTGGGGCCCTCCAAGTGTCGCGGCCTCTCGAGAAGGTCGGCTTGGGTGACTTCTGCTTCAGTCTGTCCCTCAGCTCCTTCAGGGCTGAGCCAATCAGACCTTTTCAGGCAGCCCAGCACACTCTGGGAAAATGGCAGCTGCTGTGGCAATTTCCTGAGGTTGCAGCGAGGAGCCCCCTCCCCCCAAACCCTTGTCACAGCTTCCGACAGCTCAGGCTGGCTCCCCCTGTGGTGGGGGGGTCAGAAATTCTAAATGGGCTCCACTGGACTGGCCTCCTGCTTTTTAGAACCATGTGACTTCACTCAGTCACCTTTCAAGTCCAGTTGTTTCCGGATGGAGGCTGGTTATAACCAGTCCTATCTACTGTACCCCCCCCCCCCCCACTGCACCTGGCACCTGGGTCAGGGTCCAGGGTCATCTTTGGGAACGACTTCCTCACCAATGTTCTAAACCTTAAAGAGGAGTGATCTCTGCTCCATCTTATGTCCCCCTACTGATTTTGAGAGGCAACATGTCTCTGGTTTCTGTCTCCCTCTGGGCACTGGCCTGTGACTGAGCAGTCCCCTGGAGCTCAAGCATAGATAGCAAAAGAGCAGTTTTATTGAGGCAGCAGTGATGGGGGGGGGGAACTTCAGGGCAGGGCGCAGGCCCCTCCTAGGCACTGGACACTCAGGACTGTGGTAGCAGGCAGTGGTTCACAGGCACTGGGTCAGCTTGTGTGCAGCCAGCAGCCGGCCTCCTCCACCTCCTTGGTCACCACCAATAGCACCTCGCACAGTCCCTGGGCCAGAGCAGCTGCCAGGAAGGCCCTGAAGGGAGACAGGGGAGATAGATCTGGACAGTGCAGGCAGGCCCATCTCCTTGCAGGGGAGTTCCAGCACAGGTCTCAGCCTGCCACTTCCTTCACCTCTCACCTGACACCGTCCTCATCCCCCAGGGCTTCAGGTGCCCGAAGCTTGGAGTCCAGGTTATAGTAGATGCCATTCACCTGGCGCAGGGCCACCCAGTGCCGGCGGCGCAGGGGCAGGGACAGCAGCCCCAGCGACACAGGAGAGGGTAGGTTCAGGATCAGGCCTAGCACCTTGGGGAGGGCCAGCTGGCACAGTGGTCTGGGGAGGGGAGGGACACAGCATGGAGCCCCAGAGGCCCTTGGATCCTGCTTCCTCTCCCAGAATGGCCACCCATCCACCCACTCACCTGTTACTTTCTACCTGCCAAGTCCAGCCTTGGCTTTGTTTAGGCAGGGTCTCAGGCATCCCAGGTGTGCCCCACTACAGCAGTTCATGGGGTGCTGGGGATGGAACCCCAGCCTCATGCATGCTGGGTAAGCCTCTGTCAATGGAGCCCCAGCCCCTCAACTTTTTATTGTTTGTCCTTTTGAGTCAGGGTCTCGATGGCTTCCATTCGGTTTGCCTCAGCTCAACAGGCTGGTCTCATTACTCAACCTAATTTCCATCTTTCCCACCTCAGCCACGAACCCCTCATGTGGACCCTCACACCACCCTTTTGACTGGCACCAAGTTTATCGGTTTAGCCTGTCATTCAGTTAGCCCCATCTGCCACACCCACCAGTTTTCCCCTGGGAAAAACCTCCCCCATCTACTTTCAAGCCACCCTCTGCTTCCTCCCCCACACGTAGGGCCAGTGCAGCCCACAGTCTAGGCCCTACCTCCTCCTGTCCCACCACACAGCGGCCAGGCCCAGGCCCTGCAGGGCAGCCATGATCACGTTGACATCATAGTTGCCAGTGCCCAGGAGGCTGCGATGGGGGTTCAGCCGGGAGTCTGGGGCTAGCCTGGGGGTAAGGGGGAGCAGAACCAAAGTTGGAAATTCTGGAAAGGCCTCCACCTTCCCACACAGCAGAAACCCAGAACCTGACCGTTGACTCTTTTCTCTCTTCAAGCCCTGCACAGCTTATCGGGCCCCAAGTCCTGTTCTCCCTCTCATCCCCAATACCTGGATAGAGCTTTTGTCTTTTTTCACTCAGAAGCCTTCCCCAGCCCACCTCCAGGAGCCTTGGGCTGCCTTGCCCCTCTCCTCCTCCCACCTCTCATGACTCCCAAGGGCCCTGGACAAAGTCCCTGCCCTTCTATCCACCCTTCTCATCATGGCCTCTTTCCAGACTGGCTTCAGATGTCCTTTCTTCTGGGAGAGGAGTCATCAGAGCCCCCAAATGACAATGCCATTCCTGTCACCAGATCTGAACAGAGCGCCTCTTTCATTTGGTAATGCCCTGCTCTGTTCACAGCTCTCCCTGGTGCCCGTCTCCTCCAGCGGCAAGTGGGCCTTGCATGGCCAGTTACCTATCCCCAGCTGTCCCTTGTGCCCAAGCCTCTCCTCTCACTCTCTCCAGATGTGGCCCTGTTGTTCTGAAGAGCAGTGACATGGAAGGACTGTATCCCCAGCCCCTCTCTTCATCACATCACATCACGAACAGCTCCAGCTGTTCGGCAGGCCCTCGGCATGGAAGAGCTGGCTGCATGGAGATGAGGATCTCACAGAGTAATCTACAGATGAATGTCTTCTAACATAAATCTACAGTTTGAGGATGCTGGGTGAGCAGCAGTGAGAAGACAGAAGGGCTGCCTCTGCATGTGGGCGTGCATTGCAGGCTGGGGTGTCTGTGTGTCCGCAGAAGGACTGTGAGGTCTACAGGTGGGAATAGGAAGAGAGATTCTTAAAGTGATGGTAGAAATTCTGAGGGGCACCCAGGTGACCAAGAAAGAGGATACCTTGTGTAACGGGGAAGCAGCCTGTGTAAAAGTTCAGAGACACCACAACGGGGCCATCTGGGGCCAAAGAGAGCCATGAAGGATGAAGCTGCAGAGAGGCAGGCAAGTGCTAGAGCACCCAAAGCCTTGGGGTTCAGGCTGAAGGGCCTGGGCTAATCTCTAGGAGTGCAGGGGACCCACAGAGGGACAGGAGGAGAAACACAGACAGCTGGGACTGAGGCTGTGAGAAGAGGCAGGTGGAGGAGCAGGCATCAGCTCCGGGATCTGAGCCCTGGCCCTGCTAGTGCCCCAAGCAGGCTCTCCTGCCTCTCAGTCCTGCTCTTCCAGGGCCAGGACCGGTGGCTGTCACCTCTTGCAGATCTCGTCTGCAGCCTCCTGGCTAAAGAGCCGCTGTTGGAGGACGTTGTTGAGAGCGTGGACGGCGCACAGCTCTAGTCGCTGCCGTTCGTGGTACACTGAGGGTGGGCTCGGCCGCGCTTCCGGGGCCTGAGACATACCCTCCTCGGCTCCTGCTGGGGTGGAACAAGGAGACGGTGTTAGGGACCCAGGATCTGGATCATCCAGGTGTCCAGACTCCTGTGTCAGTGGCAACAGCCACTGAGATGGGCACTGGGGCCAGCTTGGGAGCACACGAGGTCCCTGACCCTGCTACCTAACATGTCTCCAGAACATAGAGGCATCTTCATGCCCCAGTCCTAGAGGGAAAAGACTCTTTTCTGCTCACTTGGTAATATAGACCCATCCCCACTACGTGTCTCTAAGCAAAAAGGTACGGATCACCGTAACCTAGCAACGGAGTATCGCTCCTTCTATCCCCAGGAAACAATACTTTTTGGTTCCCAAGCAACAGAGGACACCCCACCCCCTTGGTAACCCGGTCCGTTTTTCTGATCACCTAGTAATGGAGGACTCCTCCTTTCCCGTCTCTGGGTAACAGGGTCTCTTCTGGTCGCCTGGCAACGGAAGACTTCCCCTCGTCAATAACCAGTGCTCTCTCCCGTCACCTGGCAACAAGGCCCTCTCCCAGTCACTAAGCAACAGGAGCCCCCTCTTCCTGTCACCTGGCAACCAGGCATGTTCCCACCCGCCTCCGTAAGGGACTCTCCCGGCCCTCACCCCGTCAGCCTCTCTGCTCCCTGGAACCGTCCGTTTCTGCATTCCCTGGGCAGCCGTCGGGTGGTACCACGCTGACTGGGCAGACGGGACGGACTACAGCTCCCGGCGACCTGTGTGCTCCGGACTGCGATTCCCGAAGGCCTCCACGGGGCGCCTAAATCGGACGCACAGACCGGAAGTTCACTGGGGACGCGCTGCAGCGCGGAACTACAATTCCCATCGGAACACGTAGCCAGTTCTCATGTACCCCCAAAGGCCACTGCTGCCTAGAGGTTTCTGGGAAATGTAGTAACTATGGCTCTCGCGATAGCTTCCAGGAAGTTGGTTTATGTGTGTTTGCTCATGAACTCGCAGCTATGGCGTCATACACAATGTGTTGAGGCGTGATGTAATTTAGGGGAAAGGAACCAAAGAGGCCAGAGAGAACAGCGGGCAGAATTCTGATGTTTACTGAGACACATAGTAGTCGAGGTGACAGCAAGGGTAGTGGGGGAGAAGACTTGTCAGCAGAGGTGGATCCCAGGTCTGGAGGGGAGCTGGCAGCAGCCTGTGGGGAGAATGAAAGACTAAAATGACGACACAGACATGCAGGCGGCCATGGCGACCGTGGGCTTTGGAAATCGTAGTGTGGTATAACCCAAAGAGGATACTCAGAAAGAGGTGTGGGGTGTGAATGGAGAGACAAGAGTCTCTGAGACTCAGAGAGAAGTTGAACTGGGGAGAGACTCAGAAAGCCTGGGAGTGAAAACTAAGCGTGGGCAAAGACAGAAAACCGGGGCGGGACACCAGCATGTTAGTTCTGCAGAATACAAAGGCCAAGGGACCCTTGGAGGGCCTGACCGCACCCAGTAGGCTGTGCCAAAAGGCCGTGACAGTAGCAGAGCCGGTGACAGCACCAGGCTGGGCTGGGTTCTCCCTGTGGGTGTGCACGTTGAATCTGCGGCCTGTGGGACCTGGGGGGCCGTTCAGCTCCACGTCCACCACGTGCATGTCTGTGAGGCTGCAGCCGGCAGAGAAGGAAGGGCAGTTAGTCCATCTGGCCTGACACAGCTGGGCCACCCACTTCTTTTGCTCACCTAAGGTCAGCCACAAGCACCCCAATGACACCGTCAAAGCCTAGGCTGGGGGCAGCCAGTGCAGCGGCTGCCATGGTGTTAGAGTTTCGGGGGGCCAAGGGGCAGAGCCCACGCACAGGACCCTCGTAGAGCACTGTGCGGGGCCCACTACTGTGTGCTGCAGCCAGGGATCCTTCCAGCCGGAAGCCGTCAGGATGTGTGGCCATGGTGACTCGAAGGCTCTGGAAGCAATGGAAGGGTCAGGAGTCTGAGACTCTTACATGTTCCCTCAGTTGCAGCCAAGATGGTTCTCACCTGGAGGCCTCCAGCTTCATCCAGTCTCCTAATGTCTTCAGACCCCCACAGGGCTCCTCGGGCCACAAACACAGTGTGACCCCAGTGGTTTGAAGCCTCCATGAGCCGCTGCTCTGTGGTCTGGTCAGCCAGAGCTGAGGGAGACCCCACCTTGGATGGTAGAGAGGGAAGGCCAAGACATAGATCACTGCGGTAGGGCAGGATACAGCCAACACAGAAAAGGATTAGCTGAGGGGTGAGGAGGCTCACCAGGAGGTTAGCGTGGCGCAGGATCTGTACCCCTGATTCGTGGATTATATTTGGATGAGCCACTTCTACCACAAGGTCAGGGTGCCTGGAAGAGGAGACATGGAGGGCCTTGGAGAAGAATCAGGTCTCTTTGGGGTTTGGAGGCTGTCACTCCTTACCCTGGCTAGGGAGGAAAATGGGATGGTGGGTGTGTTGGAGTTTATGTGCTCTGAGCCGCAGAGAGGGGAGGCAGATAGAAACTTCGGGAAGGCTCGTGCTGTGCTGTGGGCCACTGACCTTTCCTCTAGAGCAGTAAGGTCTCGGAGCTGCAGGGCAGGGGGCACACTCCCTGCCATTCGCCCAGGGTCACGGTTCCATACAAAAACAAGTTCTAGGCCCAGTTCTGATCCCTGAGCCAGAAGGCGGGACACAAGGGATTGTCCTGCAGAGAAGGGGAGGGCTAGAGATCCAAGGAGAGTAGAGACTCCTCCCCCACTCAGAAAGCTGGAGAGAGGGGTGGGGAGAGAGAAGGGAAGACAGACAGAATCCCAGAGAGAGAAAGAGAACCTGAGAGAGCTACCCCAGAGACCCAGAGAGAGGGACAGAGGCAGGGAGAGAGAACCAAAGAAAGGGAAGGGGGACAGAGACCTACAGAGACACACCGAGACAAAGACAGAGACCCAGAAAGAGACAGAGAGACCAAGAGGAGAGATAGGAAAGAGAGATACCTCAGAGACCCAGAAGACAGTGACCTAGAGAGAGGCAGATACCCAGACACACACACACACACACACACACACACACACACACACACACACACCACACACGCACAGTATAGACAGAACCGGAGAGAGGAACGCCCAGTGAGCGGGCAGAAGGCAGGCTGGGTTGGCAGATTGGGGTGAAAGATGTAGGAACAGAGATGTTTCTGGACTTTAGGGATGGCGCCATAAAAGGAGGCTCAGGCTAGTTCTGACTCACCTAGGCGGCCATAACCTACCACGCCCACCCTCTGAGGGCTTCCAGGGACCATTCCGGTGGCTCTGGCCTTGAGCACAGTGACAGGGTGGGTGAAGTCCTGAAGTGGAGACCTCCAGGGCTTTGCTGCCTCTACCAGGCAGAGGCAGTGAATGATCTCTGGAGTTTGACCCTTGACCCTGTCCACTGGAGCCAGAGGGAGGAAGCAGGATGGTGGGGGTGGGGTGCTTCTCTGTGAGCCTTCTGCTCTCCTGTGCTGGCTGGCATGGTGGCTTGGGAGCTAGGCCTTGTGTGGCCCCGTGTGCCCACTGCCCACCCCACTGCCTCCTGTGCAGACCACACTCTTCATCCCTCATGAGGTAGAAAAATCCCTTTTTCAGTCCCCCCTCCTCAGGCTGGCCAGCAGGTTGTCATGGAAACTGCATTTTGCTTGGGATGGGGAAGAACTGGGGACAGGAACCACCAGGCCCCTTGCAGATCTCTCCATCTCTTTTTGTCATAAGGCCCAAGTGGAAAAGTCTGGCTGGAATGCCCTGTGGTCCTGCACGTCCAGTTTTCCCGTCCTCCATGCCCACAGGCCTGGTCAGAGTCCCTGCCCCCACCCCAGTGTCTGATTGCCCTTGAGCTCACCTTAACTGTACTATTCACCACTCACCTCATGCCAGTCTCCTGCCTCTTTGTATTCCTGGTCCTCTGCCCCCTTCCCTCCCCGTGTCCCATCCATGAAGAAGGGGCCTGCTTAGCTGGGGGAGTTCCTAAGTGCTCCCAGTGTGAGTCTAGCCACTGCCTGGCAGGCCTGGCATGGGACATAGCAGGCTGCAGCAGGCCAGCTCCCTGCCCCCATTGCCACCTGGTACAGCCGCAGTGTTGTCATGGTAACCAGGATCCTAGCCGAGATGGCTGCGGAGAAGGCAGGAAAAATAGAGAGAGAACCCAAAGTGCATGCGCAACAGTCCTGTCCCGGCCTTCATCAGCACAGAGCTGGACAGGGAGATAGGGCCAGGCGCCTGACAGTTGTCAGATAAAGAAGCCACTTAGCGCTGGGGTGGGGTAGAGGACAAGATGCAGTGGGGGTAGAAACATTGGGAAGAGGTGGGGATGGGGAGAAGGGGGCAGGAACACAAGGTGAAAGGAGTTGGGGGGCTCCTGCTCTCCCATCCCTGGTGAAGGTGCGCACCTTGCGGCCTTCAGTGCCCACAGGCCAGGTGTCCATGTGCTGTATGTCTGGCTCTGGCTACCTCTCTGCCTTTCTAGGCCTCCTCAGACTTCCTGGGCAACCATAGCTCTCTGGAGGTTGAACCTTGGACACGTGGGCCACTCTGAGATGTCACTGATAACCCACTCCAGCAGCACCCAGACCTGGCCTAGCTGCATGTTTTCCTCGTTGGTGATTGCAGACCCTGCAGGGGACTGCCCTCCGTGTGCCCTGGTCTGCTTACAGTGTGTTTACATGTGGCCCAGGCCTGCTTATTTTGTGTGCACTTCCCTTGTACAGTCTCCTGACTACCCAGGGATATGTGTGAAATGGAGGAGTCTCTCTTACGGGGACACAACCACTTGCTCAAGAGTGTCACCCAGAAAGTTCTGTGGCCTTCCTGAACAGCTGTGTCTGCAGATGGTGCCCTTAGGGAGGTTCTGCTGTTGTGCAAGCCCGTGAACTGTGATGCATTCCTGCTCTGGGGAGTCACACATGGAGGGCCCAGTAACTGGGAGAGGCTGGGATGGAGCTTTCCTGCCCAAGACTCAGAGGGAGCCCAACCCTGCCAGCACTGTGACCTTGGACTTGCAGTCCTCAGAACCCCAATATCCCACAGTTCTGTTGTCCCAGGCATCTGTGGAGTTTTGCAGTCCTAGGTCCCTTCTGGGTTGTTTCTCTCTCTCTCTCTCTCTCTCTCCCCCCCCCCCCCCCCCCCCGTGTGTGTGGTGATGGTGGTGGTGATGGCAGGCACCAGAGTGAGAACGGAAAGACAGCCAGAGATGGAGACAGAGACACATAGGAGGGCAGAGGCCAAGTCCCCAGCACATTCCTGGAAGGGCAGCCAGGAAGATGGAACAGCGCTGCTGTGTGCTGTGTGAGCCGTTCATCTCTGGGATCTTGGGAATCGGGAGTCCCAGATCTCTAATTTCGGGGTGCCCACTCCCCCCTCCCCCGCCACAGGACAGCATCGCTGGTCCCACCCACAGTGGCTTTGTGCTCTGTTTGTTTTCAATACTTTCATGACCCAAAAAAAATATTTTTTTTTACTTTTTCCATGTTTTTTTTTTTTTAAAGTAATTACAGAGCAGGTAGTGATTGACGCAAACCTCCCTTCAGTATCAAAAGAGTCTGTGGGGCGGGTGGGGCCGACCAGGGCCGCGAGTGGAGCTCGCTGTTGGGGACACTGTCGGAGTTGCCCCCTGGGCTCTGGTGAAGTTGTCTGTCTCTTGTGTTTTGAGTGTGGAGGAGTAGGAGGGAAGGACAGGCGTCAAACTGCAAAAAAGAAAGAAAAAAGAAAGAGCCATAAAAGGAGGGTTGGGAGGAGGGGAAAGGGTACCCCTCGAAGAAGAAGCTCCTCTCCCCTGGAAGGTGGCGGGCAGGACAGGTGGGCAGAGGACGCGGCAAGGCGGAGGGCGGGGCCACCTCTCCTGATCTCCAGGTCCTTTCCTGTTGCTGGATGGCGGGTGCCGCGGTGCTGCGCGGCAAGCAGGAGCATCCCCGGCAGGCGTCCTGCGTCCCTGCCTGCCTAGGTTTAGATTTGTGTCTCTTGCACATTCTCCTTGGAGCCACTCTTGAAGAGCAGAGGTTCGTGGATGGAGTTGAGGCCGGGGCCCTTGGCCCCGCACCCGCCTCCTGGGTTGCCGCCGTAGTGTGCCTTGAAGGCGGCGGCCACGTAGTGGTGGTGGTTGAGGTGGTCTCGCTCCAGCGCCGGAAGGGCCAGGTGGCTGTCCCCGCCCACGCCCGCGCCTCCGGCTACCGCAGCGGCCGCGGCCACCGACACGGCGGAGGCGGCGGGAAGCTCGTCCTCCACATTGATGATCTCCACAGTGCGCGTGGGCCCGTGGTGCTTGTGCAGCTGGTGCTGCTTGCGCAGCTTGTAGAAGGCCACCAGCATCACAGCGGCCATGAAGGTGATGGCCACGAAGCAGCCAATGATTATTTTGGTGGTCTTCATGACGTCGTCTAGGTCCTTAAGCGCGTTCTCCGTTACGTCCGTGATGGGCACCGTGAACGCCTTCTCCGTGGGCCGCGAGGAACGTGGGGCCGGCGCTGTGGTAGACGCCGAGGCCGGAGCTGCGGCATCAGGCCGTCCACCGCCCCATGCTCCGTCAGTCGTGGGCCCCGGGGGTTCCTTTTCTGTACCCCGGGGCTGCTGGGACTCCTCACCCGGCTGTGTCTCCAGCGTCTCCACGGTCACCGTGGTGAAGTAAGTATAGCCACCCGCACCCCCGGCACCGGCCCCACCCCCGGGACCCCCGCCCCCAGCCCCCCCTGCAGCCACGGGGTCCACAGCCGACACATTAAGCGTGGCCGAGGCAGTGGTGTTTCCGGCCGAGTTTGTGACCATGCATGTGTACTGGCCCGTGTCCTGCACGGTGACATTGGTGAAGTTGAGCGTGCCGTCGTGCAGGACCGAGATGCGCACGCGGTAGGAACCATGCGTCATGAGCGTGCCGTTAGGTGTCAGCCAGTTGACTGAGGTCATGGATGTGCCTGTGCGGCACTTGAGTTCAGCCGCCATACCCTCGGTGACATTGAGGTCTGTGGGTGGCTCCACGATGACTGGGGCGTAGCAGGTGAAGTGTGACTGGTCCAGCTCACCGATGTAGCGGCCCTTGAGGCCGGCGGGCGCGTGGCAGCGTGCGCAGCATGTGGTGTTGCTGGGCACCGTCTCCTTCAGCCACCAGCTGAGCCACAGCACATCACAGTTGCAGTGCCAAGGGTTGTGGTTGAGGTGGACGCGCTCCAGGCGGTGCAGGGGTGTGAAAAGGTCGTGTGGCAGCGACATCAGGTTGTTGTGGGACAGGTTCAGCTCTTCCAGCGACTTGAGGTCGTCAAAGGCATTTCGCTCGATGGTGGCCACTTGGGCGTGCATCAGCCACAGCTTGCGCAGGCTGGTGAGGCCCTGGAAGGAGCCGGGGCGAATTAGGTCCAGCCGGTTCCCGGACAGCTCCAACTCCTCCAGGCGCACAAGCGCTGTGAGGTTGGGGATGTCCTTGAGGTTGCACATGCCCAGATTGAGGTAGCGCAGGTTCACCAGCCCCTCGAAGGCCGCCTCTGATATGTACTCCAGCCGCTTGAGCTCGCCCAGGTCCAGGCGGCGCAGTGAGGGCACGCGGTTGAAGGCATAGGATGGGATGCTTTCGATGGGGTTGTTGCGCAGCCACAGCTCCCGGAGCTTGGACAGGTACTCGAAGGCCTGTGTGGGCACCGTGGTCAGTCGGTTGTCGAAGAGTTCCAGTGTGTTGAGACTAGGCAGCCCATTGAAGGCGCCCACCTCGATCTTGCGCACCAGGTTCTTGCTCAGCTGCAGGATCTCCAGGTGCCGGAGGTGCTTGAATGTGTCTGTGCGGATCACCTGCGGGGAGACTAGTGTCAGTGCATCTGACAAGCTTGGGAGCAGCAGAACTCTCCAGTTCACAGCAGGAGAATGAGACTCAGCAATCAGTACGTGGTGCTAATGACAAGACCCGGGGCCTCCAAGATGCTGGACAGCAGCTCTGTGACTGTGTCCTCACTGGGAGACTCCAAGCGGGTGATTTACCCTGAGCCACGCCCCAGCCCCTTATAGGGGGGCGGGGTGTTCTAGGCAAGTACTCTACCATTAACCTTCATCCCCAGCTGTCTTTTTACTTTTTCTTTAGAGACAGGGTCTCATTAAGTTCCTGAGACTGGCCTTAAACTTGATCTTGGTACTCCAGGCTTCTCACTAACTGGGAAGGCAAGCTTGTGCCTCCACGCCTGACTTTCCTTACGCTTCTTCTGTGCCCATGATGCTTTCCACACACTCCTGTCTTTCACCCTTCAACAGTGCTGTAATTCCTCTGGTTCCACATGGAGGAGAGGAAGCTTGCTGGGTGCTGAGCTGGGAGGGCCTGCCTCCCTCTCGTTTGTTTTTATGAACAGGTACGGGAATTGAGGCTGCAGAGGTAATGAACAGCCCGAATCAGACCTGCCTCCTCTTCCTGGCTATGGGACCTGTCACCTGACCACTGTCCAAGGTCAATTCCCCCAGGAAGGAGGAGGCAGAGGCTGTTAACCACAAGAGACCGTGCACAGCCTCAGGCTGTTGGAGTCCCTCGAGCACTGAGCACTGGCTTCTCCTCACCTCAGGATCCCCACTATTGCTCACATGGGCTTGGAGGGCACTCCATCCCAGGGAGCAGAGTCCTG